TCTAAGAAAAATTATAAAAATATAGAAAATAATAATTCGGCGCTTAATTAGTAGTAATGAATTTCTTATCGTAATAAATTGAAACCATTTCCACTGTCCTTGTAACAAAAACACCCTTAAGAAATATTATTATTGTAAGCGCTTTTGCAGCGGGGTTGCACGTATGCTATTGTCTGCAAAGACTTTTTGGGGCGAGCGTTCATTGCTCGTGTGGTACGATGGCAAGGAACGATGGTTTCAGTTGTCACTGCTTTCGTTCGTTTTCACTGTTGGTTAATCATTCCGCGACGTTGTAAATACGCCAATCTTTTAAACAATAAAAGTAATATATTTGAACTCAATTAAAGCACAAAACATTCTAAAGTTAATAAGCATATAAATAATGAGACAAATGCATTAAAAGAAGAAGTTYCTTGTAGAAGTGTAGTGAATTATCGGCAAAATCTATTGAAAATATTTGGTGCTGAAAAAACAGAAGGAATCCAGCTTCCTATCGGAAGCTTGAAAAATCAATACATGGATTCTAATCTCATAAATGCATATTCGAATATATGTATATACATATATGAGCGCARTTGCATCTATAGATTAATGTTGAAAACAACTATGAGCTTAAGAGAAAATATCATCAGTAATAGAAATTAACCCGTCAGCGGAGTTTGAAAAATCAATATTTTCGACGAAGACATATGCAAATGTCTGCAGCACCTCTTAAACTCCACAACTTTTGCAGGCGTTAAATTACCATACTACCATAGATGCAGTTAAATTCGCTCGTCTCATTTACCGTCTTATACTTAAGAGCCAATAAAATTTAKAACTAAAATGTGTGCCAGAAATATTATAATACATAATTGTATACATACGAATTAACTATTTTACAATTGGTTTGAACCACAGGTCAAACAAATGTGTCATTGTTGATGTCCTAAGCTATGAATGGTGATAGATTAATCTGAAGTAAACCACTTTCATACCAGTTCAGAATATATGAAATAAAGTGTACTCTGATTGTGGAAGAAAATCCCTCAAACAAAATAACTCATTAGAAAGCTTTATATATTACAGAATTCAGTGTTTGTTTTTTGTGTAGTAGTTGGATTTCAGACAGAAATTTCAAGTATAAAGGGCAATCCAATAATGGGTTTTTGCTTATTTTAAATGTTGGTTTCCTTTTTGCATAGTTACTATTATTTATAGATAAGTGCTAAGCATTTAAATATTTCATAGATTTAGAAAAAGTCAAATTTTCCACGAAATTTAATAATTTTAATTAAGTATAGTTTTTTCCTACTTTGCATCCACTTGTGCATATTGCGTACATAGTATATCACTTGATATGCTTTTTTTTCTTATGTTTTGACATCTCTGTGGAGCAGTGCGGCGTGTCGTCCCCTCGGCCACCGCCTCTCTTCTCTGTATACCTACCCTCCCAAGTTGTAATGCAATATGCGAGACGGGTGCTGCATTATACGCGAGAATGCTCAAACACAAATTACCAACTTGCTAACAACCAAGAACAACAATAAAACGGAATTATAAACACACGTGTATATGAGCAGTTGAGCAGTAGATTGAATAAAATTGAATGCGACGACTTTTTGAGTTACATGATATTTCACTTTTACCAATGTAAATACGAGTATGCACATATATGGCATTGTGTGCGGATGCGTTAAAGTAAATTCCTGCGTTCGGTAGTAGTACGCCTTCATGGGTGGCGACAGTTTACAACATTGGGGACCAGTGGCCGCACGAAGTTAAGTGGAGTCGTTAGCGTGTTCTTTTGTGTAGTCAATGAAGTGCGTAACTGCGCTCGTCTCATTATCAACATAGTGCCATTTGGAGAGCGACAAACGTTCTCTTCCAAAACATTGTGATTGTTTAAATTTTGAGTGCTGTTAGACGCCGTTTGCTCTTACCTCCCCTTTCCWTCGACACGACTCTAGCAGATTATTAACATCGGACGACGATATGATGTTTAGTTCATTCGCAGCAGGCCAAACTTCGACAACCTACTGGCAAATATATTATATATTACATACATTTATACATACTTATTGCTCTGCATTATTGTGCTAATTTTTAAGTACATATGTCACTTGTGTTTAATTTTGTTGTTTGCCTTTGTTTAGGCGGTTTACTCACAATTGTTGTTGTTACGCAGACCTTTCGCAGCCGTACTCTGTCCACTCGGCGCTAAACTTGTTGACGTTCAGTTTCAGCTGTGACTCTCGTATTGTGTCGTCCGCTTTCTTAGCTATCGCGCTATAAAGACTGAAGTGAGTTTAAATTCAAGCTGAAAAGTTGTAGTTGTTGTTATGTGTTTCGTTTTTGTTGTGTATTATCAATATCAGCTGTTATTGATAAATACAAACAAACAAATGTGACAGAGGTTTTTGTGGCGCGACGGCCTCATCAACTGGACGAGTTAAACGTTACTCAACGAATTGTTTGATTACATAATGGGTAATCCACTGACAACATGTTTCATCAATTGCTACTTTCGTTAATGATTTCCAACTCTTATGAGGGAAAGAATATCAATTACGTTTTTAAAATCAAACAGATAATCGAATCGGTACACGACTCGTAGGTTCGGCGAAAAAAAAAAAAACAAAAAAAGTGCAAAGTTCATAAACAGAACACTAACATTACGAGTACATAATTCGACGATAATTGCAGTGTTCTGCTCTCACTCATTAGTTAGCGACTGAATCCGCCGAGAGCTCGCTGAAAGTTTAGCTTCGTAATTTTGTAATGTAAAAGCGTGTGCTTTTGTAATAATTACAGGTATTATCCCTGAACTTGTGATCAAAAGTACATTCATATATATTTCGCGTCCATATATGATATGCACTTGTGTGCTTAAATCTTACTACAATCCGCGTAGGCATACATACATACATACTTGGGTTATTAAGCGGCTTGCGTGTAATTATAAGTATTAAAAGCTATGGAAATTAACCTGTATTTTTCAGTTATTTTCGAAATCGTAATTGTTCTGATACCCTCGTCACAAAACAGCTATTTGTCGATTAAAACTCGTACATTTCAACTGACCAGTTCAAGGCCAGCAATATCATTGTTATAGTATGTTTTCAATGATCACTGCGTTGACAGATACTTAAATACAATTAAAGCTGTACCGCTATTTTATAAAGCCAATAGACACAAGTTATATTTTGAAAAAGTAAATATACAATAACTCTAATATAGTATGTATGYATATAAAACAAATGAAGTACTTAGCTATCATCAATATCATGAAATAATTACCTATTATGCTTTTACAATTTTCTGTACAACAAAARTTTATAAATAACAAACTCATAGCACAATCAATGACTTGAAGTATTAATTACAAACCCAATATTAAATACATAGTTCGACTATTCTACGCTTTTAAAAATAACTCGAGTTTGTTATCATTTTTGGCGTTTAGTAGTAAACCGGAGTTGGAGTTTTCTATACAAGAATCCCTACTAGAACTGTTTGTTATCTTTGGACTGCAGATTAAAATGTCATGACGACTAAAATATCAAATTATAAATAAAAAAGTAAAAGTAAAAGCTTCTACTCATGTTAAGGTTAATTTAAATGTGCATTTAGGTGCAGATTATCGAAATGTTCTTCTGCTTAGAAAGAAAATTTGGGTTCCATAGCTATTTAATGAAGTGCAAGGTCTCACTTTCGCAATCGTCCCCAACGCTTGTGCGAAGAAAATCAGAAATAAATCATGCAATTAAGTAAATTATTCAAGAACTTCTACCTCCCGTTGTGCCATATTTTTAGTCCGTGGCAAACGGATGAATTTGGAAGATATTGGATATGTCTCGTTTTGAGTTCAGACTACTTCAGAATAATACACAAGAAAGACCAGCTCTTTGTGTTGTCAAACAATAACATGAAACCGTCATCGGCAAATATTTGCATTACAAATATGAGCAACGGCATTAACATATTCACGATTGATTCGCATTTCAAATTATTTTGAGAAATTGTTTGTTGAACATGTCATATTCCAGTGTGGACAATGTGAGTGTGCGTGCTGTGTTTGTATTCAGCGCACAAAGCTGTTGTTTAGCGAARTGGACATTCAGTTGGCTGAGTAACTATCTGTTGGTTTTGCCGTTGCCGTTGTTGACTCATAAACATCTAACTTATGCCCAAATGCAGATACAAAGGTAAGTAAAGGCACATGTGCTTACCGTGTGTGCTATGTACATTCTATATGCGCTGTTGTTGCAATGTATGCAAAAGCAAATTGCGAGCGAACGACAGCGGTAAGCAGTCAAGTTACTCCGGTAAACAGCACTTTAACCAGCGTCTGGCGTTTTTAGACGAAGAGGGGTATGGTGGCGCAGGTGGCGGGTTCGCTTGTTTCGAATTACTTGTGTAAATGTGGCCCTCACAACATGCATATTAGCACTCGTATATATGTATTGGTGTATGAGTACAATTGCTAGGTTTGCTGGTCTGCTAAAGTATGTGTTTGTGTGTGGGTGCAATTCGGCGTCGTTGTGTGGCAATTGTCAACTTGGCAAAACGTCAGCTGAGTTTGATGGCGTTTAGTATGTATTTGTTTTGGTATTTAACCGTTTATATAATATTTGTGRAGAAGCCTGTAACAGCCCAGCGGTTGGGGGAGAGGTACAACTTGCAGGCCAATATTTGTTATTGGATATGCAAAGTTCTCTTCACTTTTATCGAACATATTTTCACTAAGTAATCGGATATGTGAGTGTGTAAAAGCAGTATTTTGCAATTTATACGTGCGTCGATGCGTGTACATAAATTTAAGTTCTTAGCTTTTGGATAATAATCACATTTGACTAAAACAACGGAACGCGGCAGGTGCGCCGATACCTCACCCTACACCGCCGACTAACGGCTTTTAATGCACAATAGGGTGGCTAAGCAGTAGTTGCTGCTTGGCATTTCCTTTGGAAAGTTTGATAAATTGCCTATACTAATAGAATATAAACACAGCCATAAGAACAAATGTCTGTGTATATAGGTATATGGTATGTGCGCATATGCTACGATTATAAGTTGTTTCAATCGACACATTAGCATGCGCTATGAAGTCATTGGGCGGGTCTGACACGTTCGCGGTTCGACAAGTTTATTCTCCATATCACCATTGCGGGTTCGGCTCCTAAGTCTTTTGTTTGGTCGTCTAATTCGCATTCAAGTTTCTGGCTTTCTCAAATRCTTACAACAAACACATATACCCATTCACATACAAACACACACGAGGATTCAAGTATTTGTAAATAGTTGTCACGGAATGTTGCCGTTAGATTCGAAACGCGTTTGCTTTTCTGTGCTCAATTTTCAACCTCGATACACACATACATTTGTATATCAATATATTCTATGAAACGAGAACCTGATGGTCAATTTGGCTTAATACTATTGAATGAGACAGCGGCAACAAGCACACAAACAATAMTATATAGAAAACACAAAAATAAGCAAACAAACGCCACCCTTATATCTTATATCTGCGAGTCAGCAAAATTTGGGCGTTTTGCAGATTCCGTATATCATTTGAATGTGTTGAATTCCGCGTATTCATTGCAATTCAAGGTGACGCACAAATTAACACAAAATGAAATGTGAAAAAAGCATTAAATTCAAATAAAGTGAGTGAGTCAAGATAAAGTGATCATCGCAAACCAAACAAGCTACAACCTGTGAGCGTAGTAATCGAAGAAACCAAAACGCAACAGAAACAAATGCAAAAAATGCATAATTTTTATCTAATCTATAATTTTACCTTTTAAAATTGTAATCGAATCGTGAAATCATCATGAGAAATGTAAATAATTTTAACTGACGTTAAACGAAAAACAACAATAATTACACACAAATGGAAGCGAAATTTGATCAATGTCAAACAGCGTGGTTGTGCGTGTCTGTGTTTCACGATTCTCAAAGCAATTAACACTGGGTGCGTTTACGAATGTTAACCACACACATTACACATACACTTAAACATACATTATAAAACGCAAGAATCAAGTGTTAAAGATTAAAATCACAAAAAAGTGGAATAAGTCACAGCCGCAATGGAGGTGTATGCTGAGGGACCGCAAAAGAGCGAAGAGGACGCTTCGAAGTACATGCTGGATGGTAAGAAACACTTTTAATCTTAATTAAAACTCTGAAAATATTCTACAGGATGTTCTGAGTAMTTAATTTTAAAAAACAAATATTTAATTCTCTTTGTATAAAAATTTCCTTGCGAGGTTTAGCCGAAAGCATTACGAGCGAGTWAAGTATTAATTTCGTTCTTGAAGAGAAGATTTTGGTTTTGAACCGTATGCCGTTCAAAAACGCTGGATTTAGGTTCATTCTTCCTCGGTGGTTCGCAATTAGCCGAGAATGTCTACAACTTCAAAATGATTAATGCCAACTGTGCGTGGGATGACCGTTCGTCTCTTTACACCTTGTCTCTTTCGTAAGACTTTTCTCTACTGACTGAGTAAAAAAGTGGCGTATATTTGTTCCTGGATTTATTAATAGAAAATGTATCACATAACATATGTTAAATATCCATGACCGCTGATATCGTTTAAYTTTGTTGTTACATGTGCCTTGTTCAATCCATCGAATTCCAAGACCCCAATTTGCGGAGCAACGTAGATGCCATCGACCGCGGAAGGGCTTTGGTAGCTGACACCACAGTCTTAGTTATTGACTTCAGWGTGAGTTATTGATGTAATGCGCCTCGTGAGATTTGTGTGACGTGTACCCGTACATAATCGTATGTAAGTTTGGCGTTGGGAAAAATTTCCGCAAGTTGGACAATTTGAACAATTTTCACGTCATTGCAAAAGCCACTTTTTGGCTTCATAGTACCCCCCATTACTGGTGTAATTCAGTATGTTTGCAATTACTTATGTGTGCATATTTCAAAAATGCATAGCTATATTTCATTGTTACGAGAAAATTCAAAACTTATTGTAAATGTCAAAGTGGAGCGCTAAATGACCGCATCCAACGGCCGGTGAATGCCACTCAACCGGCGGACGTAAGCAAATATAATATGTAAGAAGGTTTTTGCTTCGCTTTRTGRCTGTTTGTTGTTGGCGTTGTGCCAGATACAGTTACAAATTATTTGGTGATCGTGTTGATCATAAAAATGTGCGATGCCGCCGCCATTGCTTGCCTTTGTAGTGGCAGCAGTTGCCGCAGTTTCGGTTGTGATCGTTCTCACGCCTCTGCAAGCGTTTGCGCCCACGCATTCCATTCTCCGTTCATGTAGTTGCCGCAGCCACGGCGGCCATCCAGCTTTACTCTTAGCCGGCTCAGTGTTTTCAGCAATGAAATGTCACAGGTTGGCAACCGAAAACGCTATTAGAGTAACAACACGCGGATTTGCAGCAGTTAGTGTTGTTGTTGTTGTTGTTGTTGGACAGTGATTGCTTTGCCCGATAGCGAAAATACTTGTTCGCGCTCAAATTAAATAGTAAGGGACTTGGGGTGGGGATTCGAGTAACCGACTGGGCAGGCGAACAGGTCGTTAAATGAATAGCTGAATGTCTGGCAGACTGGCCGACCAGCAATTTGTTTTGGCGCAGAAAACTCTGATAGTGATGGCAGCGTCGGAGTCGAGGCTAATGAATGCAGCAGTACATATGTGCATGTATGTGTGTATGTATGTATCAGGTGCACACATTTGGGCTTTGCTCGAGATCTTCTGATGCTTGACTTTACAAGCATTCAGAGACACGTAGATAAATGCATACTTGTATACTATGCAGGTACAGTATAGCTTACAGATGGAGTTCGTATTGTTGGCGACACCACTGTGGTCCATGGCGTTGTTGCCATGTAGTTGCTTGCGAAATAGTGAAAGGTGTTGGGTGCTATTTGAATGACGTCCAGCGTTTCCATATCGCTATGCTGACCAACCCAAAACCGAAAACGATATGGTGTGCGACGGACGCGATCACATTTACCCATTCCGGTGTGGCACTTCATGTTGCTCGATTTGCCGCCAGCGCAAACAACGTCAAGTGTTTCGGAGAAATTTCAATTGCCGACAAGTGTTACGCCAAACTGCTATGCATTAACGCTACCTGAGCGTGAGTGTGCAAAGTGGTGAGTGCTGGGTGGTGAGGTGTTGCAGGGYAAGCAATCCGATCCATTCTTCAATTCGCTTGGCTAAATAAGCGTGCAAAAGAGGAGAGGGTTTTGGATTTCAGTGAGGAGCATTTKATACACCGCTACACAAACGTAAACAAATACGWAAATGSCGATGGTGAATGTTGGTGGGGATATTGCTGTACTCTGCCGCAACAGAATGATGCAGCAATGCCGATGACGGTGGAGAAAGCCGCGTTGTGTAAAAATAAGCTGAGTCGCCAACCAAACGCTTATAGAAGAGAGCCCTTACTTTTCAACAAAGTTCCAGGTGGCTGTGCAAAGGTAATTAATACGCAGACGCGAAATGTTGTCCATTAATTTGTGAATTAGAAAACACAAGGGACAAGTGTATGAAGCCGGGTGGTGATAGTGATGAAGTGATGGCGAAAATTCAACAGAACTTCGATTCYAGCCCAGTTGCTATAAAACATTACCGCATTCCGAGTCCTAAAGCTTCTATAGGACTTCCAGTAATTTTTTTAGTTTTTCCTCTGAGACTAAAATCTATTGTTGTTCTTTAGAATTACATACCATATCTCAAACTAATTAAAGCTGTATCWACAAAACTATTTTGAGTCGAGTAGTTGGGTTTTCACTGTAAGCGTGTAAAACAACCTAGCAGGTAGTAATGCTTCATTATTTCATTTGAATTTAATTGCTTTGCGTCCAAAAACTYCGCCTGCAACACCACAGYCTCCGCTAACTATAATCGTCAACGCATTCACCGCAATCGCTGACAGCGCTACACTGTCGTCGTCAACGTGCCGATCTTCAACAATCAGCGTCGCATTCGCCGCTCTCAATGCCGTGTGTTTATATGGTACTCGTTTCGTTCGTTTTGTTTATCTTTTTGATTGTTTTTGCAGCATAAATTTGCGCATTTTTAGAAAGGTAGTTTGCGATTTTTTACGCGCTTTTACGAGATTGTCTGCATGGTTGCCTCAAAGAGGTGTCCAATTTTTCCTTCTTTTCTTCAATTTTTTTCATAGCTCTACTGGGGCGMTAAGCGGCATTAGTTGGAACAATAYGCCGGCTGCAAGCGTTGTTGCCTCTTGTCTTGCGTTTAACAGCGCATTCGCTTGGACGGCAAYATTCAAGGTGTTCACTTGTTTTGGCATTATTCGGCACTTTTTCAACGGCTTTTTTCGTGCTTTGCTTTTYTGTTGATTGCATTGCAATTTTGTGTTTTGACGGTTTTTAATTTTGTTTTTATGCAAATTCGCACAAAATATGATAATTTGCACTTCAGCTCACTTCGTTCCATTTATGCTATGAGCCACGATCGAGCTTTTGTAGTGTGCAGGTCAGTTGACGTTTAGGCAAGATTTGCGCTGATGTTAGTATGATGACTGTGGGTGGCTAAGCTGCAGTGAACCTGGTCGACTTTGAGCTGTCAGCCAGCGGTCAAGCGACAATCTTTTGTTGCTGCAAACACTTAATGAAATGAAGGGTTGTTRTTGTGGCTGTTGACAGTGGTTCGAACGATTGGCGTTCACTAACAAATGACAGGTGGGTGTAGGAGACAGTGGCCATCAGCATAGTTTTTTTTAAGAAGTTTTGCCGCCCCTGAAAACGTGTAGCCGGTTAGTACATTTACCCAGTACGTTTATTTTTGTGTTGCGTACCGTCTTTGCAGCCTTTCACTTTCACCAAATCGTTGCCTGTTGACTATTGTCACTAACGCATCTATCACTGGCATCTGCAGTAAATCAAGCAAATAGCGATTGAGGGCCAAAAATTGTTGTTGTAGTTGTTTGTAAGTCAAGTTTGTCTAACTGTGGACAATGTATATGAAAAAAAAAATTGTGGAAAATCACAGAAACCTAATCGAACAAGGGTCGACAGTTGGGTCACTTRTTTGCCGCAGTCAGTCTCACTTTGTTGCACTTTTATTCGCCAATTACTGATGTCACGATATTCACCTAGCACGCAGCGCCAATGCCACCACCGCCATTAACAAAATTTATAAAAATGTATGAAAAGGTAATAAATGAACGAAGCTCAGAAACGCAATGTTTGAAGTTGGTTAATAAATTGGTAATTGCAACCACAGATCCACTTGCACACTAATAATTATAAGAATTTGTGCGCGCATAATTATCCAACTGACCAATTTCCGATCGGACGCTGAGTGCTGACTGCCAATTATTGCAGTCAAGATCACCATCAGTCAAACGCTGCACGCCCCAAATATGCGTCAACATGTAACATTCAAATGGTAGCAACCGGCAGTGGGTTGTGCAGCTCATTTGCCACAAAATGCAATTACTTCATTCATTAACTAAATTGCATGGTAATTGGGCATATAATAAGAAGCATTGCAAACGCTTGGTTTTAATTTTGTAAATGTAAGTGTATTTGTATGTGTAAGTGGGCCAAAGGAACCAACTAGTCTAGTTTCAGTTAATTTTCCATTCCTCGCCACCTYGTAAACTATGAAAGATGAGATCCTTCTATAACAGAACTCATTGCCTTGTGAGCCATGGAGTTTTTATAAGGAGGATCTGGAATGTTCAGACGGTGTTAGGTAGTCCTTTGAGGAATTGTGAATGATTTATAAAGTCAATGTTCGGAGAAGAAATAATCTTCTGAATAGAATAACCGGTTACCTTTTTATTGAAAGCACAGAGATTCTTGGGAAACATTCAGGAAATTAAACTATTTGCACATGATTTGTACTACCTAAACTTTTCGCTGGGGTTGTGTTAACGTAAATCGATTGCCCAGTTCCATAAAGCCACGATACATCAAATCCTGATGTCGACGTTGTCCGTAGTGGAGAGAACCACCCATAGATAAATTATTCTATAAAACCGTGTCATATGGTTGGTTCCGTTTTTCAGACTCTTATATATCAATACCAACTACAAACATAATTAAACGCATTTTTAGTGCCTCATATGGATAAGTAACTGAGAGTCTTCCGTTGAAACAAATTACAAATTGGCAGAAGTGTTACATAGAGGTGCCTAATGTTATAA